TTTTTTTAATGTATTGTTGGATCCTGTTGGCTAAGATTTTGTTGAGGATTTTTGTATCAGTGTTCATTAGGGAGATTGGTCTGAAGTTTTCTTTTTTTGTGTGTTTTCTTTGTTAGGTTTTGATATTAGTGTGATGTTGGCTTTGTAGAAAGTATGTGGTAGCTTTCCTTTTTCGATTTTTTGGGTGAGTCTGTGTAGAATAGGCACTAGCTCTTTTTGGAATGTTCAGTAAAATTCATTTGCATGTCCATCTGGTCCTGGGCTTTTATTTTTTTGGGAGGGTTTTGACTATTGCTTCAATTTCCTTGCTTGTAATTGGCCTGTTTAGTTGTTCTATTTCTTCTTTATCTAGTTTTGGGTGGTTGTAGAGTTGTAGAAATTTGTCCATTTCTGCTAAATTGTTGAACTTGTTTCCATATAGTTGCTCATAGTATTCTCTGATTCGTTTTGATTTCTGCTGGATGTATTGTGATTTCTCCTCATTCATTTATGATTTTGTTATTTGTGCTTTCTTTTGTTTTTTCTTTGTGAGCCTGGCTAGTTGCCTGTCTATCTTGTTTATTTTTTCGAAGAATAAACTTTTAATTTCATTGATTTTTTGGACTTTTTCTAACATCCATTTCATTTATTTCTAATTTGACTTCTATTATTTCCTGCCTTCTCCTGGCTTTTGGGTTACTTTGTTATTCTTTTTCCAATTCTTTAAAGTGGGAAACTAGGTTGTTTCTTTGAGTCATTTCTTGTTTCTTTATGTGAGCCTGTATTGCTATATATTTTCCTTTTATAACTGCTTTTAATGTGTCCCATAAGTTTTGGAGATTTGTGTCATCATTGTCATTCTTCTCCAGGCATTTTTAAATTTCTTCTTTGATCTCCTCATTGACCCAATGGTCCTCCAGTAGTGTAGGTTTCAGTCTCCACATGGTAGATGGGTTTCTTGTCTTTCTCATGGTTTTTCTAGTTTGACTCCTTCATGATCAGAGAAAATAGTTGGTATGATTTCAATCTTAGTGTATCTATTGGTATTTGTCTGTGACCTAGTATGTGGTCAATCCTAGAGAATGATCCATGTGGATTTGAGAAAAATGTGTACTCAGATTTTCTGGGGTACAGTATTCCATAGATGTCTGTTAGACCCATGAAGCGTAGGGCCTTCTTGTTCACAGCTTTAGTGTCTTTACTTATTTTTTGTCTTGTGGATCTGTCCATTGTTGAGAGTGGCGTGTTGAAGTCTCCCACTATGTATGTATTCTCTCTGATATACATTTTCATAGATGACAGTAGTTTGCTAATATATTTTGGTGCTCCTTCATTTGGTGCATATATGTTGATGATTGTTATTTCTTCTTGTTGTATTGTCCCCTTAATCATAATGTAGTGGCCTTCTGTGTCTCTTTTAACCTTTTTTAGTTTGAAGTCTATTTGATCTGATATAAGTATAGCAGTTCCTGCCTTCTTTTTTGGCCCATTTGCTTGTAGGATTGTTTCCCATCCTTTTATTTTCAGTCTTTTTTTTATCTTTTGTAGTTAGATGTGTTTCCTGCAGACAGCAGAACATTGGTTTCTGTAAAAAACAAAACTTTTAAAATATAATTTGACTCCAGTATAACACTGAAGATCTATGTAACTGAGTGAAAGAAAATATTACCTACAAAAACAAACAAACAAACAAAAAAAGACCACATATTAGCACAAGTTCTAGCCAATATTCAAGAGGCCTATGGAAATATAATAGTGTAGGAAATATCCCCTGACAGTATTTCAGGTTTCTCCTTTCTAACAACCTTTGAGAAACTCCCACCTTTATAGTTTTATTTTAGTATCAAAGTGGAATATTCACAGTTATCTGAAAACACTGCTGCTTCCTTCATCCCTCCAGGCTGCTTCTCCAGCCCAAATCCACTCATACTGTTAAAACATCATGTCTCCTCTCACCGTCTCTATGGGGGATACAGCCTGGAAAATTCCAAACTCACTCCCATTCTCTCTCCCTGTGTCCTTCGGTTTCCAGGGACACTCAGGGTCATCACTGCACTCCATGACAAAGTCTCCACCGACTCCCCTGGACTCACTCTCCCCAGACCTCAGGACAGGGTGTGATGCCCCCCACCCTCCTGCTGCTGCTCTGGGGGTCCCTGGCCCTGATGGAGACCTGGGCTGGTGAGTGTGGTATTCAGCTAGAAACTGTTGTTTGAGGAGGGAGGAGCAAGGACCCCAATGCAGTGGCAGTACTCCAGGAAAGGCTCATCCTCCTAACCTCTTGTGCCTACTTTTGGCGGCTTGTGTTCTGGTCCATCTGCCCTCTTCGCCTACCCTGATGCTCTGGTCCCCCTGAGTGTCTGGCCCTTCTTTTTTTTTTTAAAAAAGATTTATTTTATTATTTATTCATACAGAACTGGGGTACAGGCCAGAGATGTGGAAGGCGAGAGGATTCACCAGGGACAGAGTGGGGAGCAAAACAGGCAGATCAACGAAGTACACTGCTGAGGGGAGCAGTGGGCGGGTCAGGAGAGGTCTGCAACGCCATGCGGTCACCTCCGGGGCAGGCAGGAATCGAACTCATGCTGACGTAGCTTTTAGTTTCTTAGTGTGGTGCTTTAACCCGCTGCGCCACCAGGGAGGGCCGAGTCTGGCCCTTCTTGGCCCCTTTTAATCTCCGGAGCCCCCTTGCCCTTTTCTCTCCTCCAGGCCCATTTCCCTGGGACCTGGGCCCAGCACTGTCAGGAGGGTGAGCCCGGGTCTCCCCTCCCACCCCCAGGTTCGCACTCCCTGAGGTATTTCTCCACCACGATGTCCCCACCCAGCCTCGGGGAGCCCCGCTTCATCACGGTGGGCTACGTGGACGACACGCAGTTTGGACGGTTCGACAGCGACTCTCATGGTCAGAGCGCGGAGCCGCAGGCACCCTGGGTAGAGCAGGTTGGGCAGGAGGATCTGGACGAGGAGACCGGGATCCAAAGGAATGAGGCTCAGTGGTTCAAAGCGCTGCTGCAGGACGTGCGAGGCTACTACAACCAGAGCGAGGACGGTGAGCTTCCCGGAGCAGGCCCAGAATGAGGTCACAGTCCCATTCCCACCCTAAGGCCATGGGTATCCCAAGTCTCAGGGTCCAACTGACCCCTCGAAGCTGGTGGACTTGCCAGTCCCCTCCCCCGGGAAGACACTGTGGGACCCTCCCTCCTGCAGTTTCACTTTCAGTTCAGGTTGACTCAGAGGGAGGGGCAGGTGACTCCGGGTGACCGTGGGGCTGACATAGGGGGGTTCAGGGTCTCACACCCTCCAGAGGATGTGTGGCTGCGAGATGGGGCCAGACCGCCGCCTCCTTCGCGGTTACGAGCAGTTCGCCTATGACGGAGCCGATTACATCGCCCTGAACCTGGACCTGCGCTCCTGGACCCCCGCGGACCCGGTGGCCCAGATTACGCAGCAACAGTGGGAGGCGTCGGGGAGGGCCGAGCGTGTCAGGAACGTTCTGCAGGGCAGGTGCCTGAGGTGGCTCCCCAGACTGTTGGAGTTGGGGAAGGGGGTCCTGCAACGCACAGGTAAGGGGGGCTCAAGGCCTCGGACTCCCCTCACCCCGGACCCCACAGGGAAATGGTATAATGGGCAGAACAGCACCTGCTTTCTGGTCAGAGGATAGGAGCCCCTGGGTGTCATATTCTGTACCTCAGCCAGAAGACACTGCTTTTCTGGGCAGTTAAAGAAGCCAGTCTCTCCTGATGGGGGTAGGCCATGCCTGAAATCACTTTCATTGCATATTTAACCCGGCATCATCCTGGGAGCCATGAGTTATTCTTTCAGGTCTTGTCTTTGATCTGAGAACAGTTTTGAACCTGACTCTGCCTTTCTGTGTCACTCACCCTCACCCAGCTCAGGAGCAGAGTGTCCTCCTTAGAGACCTGCACCCTTCCACCCTGGGCTCTCACCCGATGATCCCAGATTCCCCAGACAGGGCTGGGCTCTGGGTTTTGTGCTTCCTCCTCCACACCAATGTCATGTCCATTCTGAGGATGGTCACATGAAGCTGCTTCAGTATCCATGGAGGCCACTGAATAATAACCCAAAATTGATATTTCTGATTTGGTCCCCTTCAGATCCCCCAAACACACATGTGACCCACCACCCCATCTCGGACCAGAACGTCACCCTGAAGTGCTGGGCCCTGGGATTCTACCCTGCGGAGATCACCCTGACCTGGCAGCAAGATGGGGAGAACCTGACCCAGGACATGGAGCTGGTGGACACCAGGCCTGGAGGGGACGGAAACTTCCAGAAGTGGGCAGCTGTGGTGGTGCCTTCTGGAGAGGAGCAGAGATACACGTGCCATGTGCAGCATGAAGGGCTGCTGGAGCCCCAAGTCCTGAGATGGGGTAAGAGGGGGACGTGGGCATAGAGGCTCCTCTTCAGGGGATCAGGGGCACTCTGGGCCCCCGAGAGGGTCAGGATGAGGCCTGGGCCTCAGGGCCTCCCCTCCCCTTCCCTTCCAGAGCCCCCTCCTCAGTCTTCCATCCCCACCGGGGGCTTCATTGCTGGCCTGGTTCTCCTTGGAGCTGTGCTCACTGGGGCTGCGGTGGCTGCAGCTGTGATGTGGAGGAGGAAGCACTCAGGTAGGGAAGGGAGTGGGGGATCCTGTCCACTGGGGGCTTTCAAGTCCCACCTGGTTAGTGAGAAGAATCATCCACACACTTGTGCTACCTACAGGGGATTTGGTCCAGTTCTCCCTTTTTCCCCATCACAATGTCCTTTCTTCATTTTCCCAGTCCTGACATGGGGCTTTAGTCACAGTTCTGGAAACTTACCTCTAGTCCAGGGTTAAAAAATTCCTTTGGGACTTCTGACCTAACTCCTCCCTTGTCTCACATGTTGTTTCTTCCTACAGGTGGACAAGAAGTAAGATATACTCCAACTACAGGTAAGTGTAAATCAGGGGTTTGGTCCCTGAGCTCCTGGGACAGTGTAGATGGAGCCCCTGGGGGAGTCACCCCATCAGTCCCTCCTGTGGTCTCCTCTCTCGGGGCTCTGACCAGGTCTGTGTTGTTCTCCCCCAGGTGGCGACAGTGCCCAGGGCCCTGATGTGTCTCTCAATCCCTAAAGGTGAGACCCTGAGGTCTATGTGGGAGGGGCTGGGGCAGAGAGGAGGGACCATGTTATGAGGGAGCTGTGAGGGACATTCTGAGGATGGGTGGGCTGTTGACAACACTGACACTTAGTGACTCACCTGAATTTGTTCCTGATCTGTTTCCTTCAGAGTAAGACAGCTGCCTTGTGGGGCCAGAGTGTTACTGGATCTCTCTCATCCCCATTTTGTGACTTCGAAACTTCTGGTTTATTTAATTTTATTTGTTTTCTAGCTGTCAAAAATTAAATCTTTCAATTAAATTTTATTTGTTTCCAGCCCTCCCTGGTGGCGCAGCGGGTTAAAGCACAGCACTGAGAAGCTAAAGCCACTTCCACATGAGTTCGATTCCCGCCTGTCCCGGAGGTGA